AAATGGAAACAACTCAGATAGTGCACGTTCTGCAGATATAATGTCCACGTCTCACTGCCGTACAACAGTATAGACAGCACCATTGAGCGGTGAACAAAGAGCTTAGTGCTCGGCTCCAGGCTGTGGTTCTTCCAAACACGTCTTCCAAGACGTCCGAATGCAGCGCTGGCTTTTGCCACACGAACTATCGACTCGCGGTCCACGGACAGATCGGTGGTCAAACTTCTACACAAGAAGCAAAAATTCGCGCAGCTATCGGTCACGTCTCTATTGATGCGAATTTGGGGTGAAGGTGTACGGACAGTACCTCCGCCTGGGGAGGGCTGAAAGAAATAAAATGTCTTGCCTGTGTTGATATCCAATCCAAACGTGGATGCCGCGACCTAAAAAGCCGTGGTCAGTGGCTGTGGTTCGTCCTCGCTGCGTGCGAACAACGCGCTGTCATCTGCAAATAGAAGCACACGCATCGCTGAGGTGTGTAACCGTGTTGGGGTGCCGAAACGTTGAACATTCAGCGGGCATCCATTCGTCCGGTAACGTAACTCAACACCGTCATCCGCCGAGTCCCAAATAGCAACAGTTAGCACGGCAGTCAAATATAAACGAAATAGGGCTGGGACTGGCAAACAACCTTGTTACACACCAGTGAAAGGGGCAAATACATCACAAGTAGTGTAGTGACGAGGAGCAATCGTAATATATTACTCGCACCACTGCTATTCAGTAATTGAGCCAGAGCACATATTTTGAGATTGAAGTAACCGCAGGAAAAATACAAGAAGAAACACTGAAGTGCAGCAGCGCATGAAATGGTTCTTGGTACATAATGGAATGTAAAGGAACTGAACGTTGGCGTCTGTGGCAAACGTGACGGTCTGAGTCGAGTACCGTACGCAGATGAGTGTTTTGCTTGTTATCATTTACGAACGCATAACCCGTGTTGCTTTCCTGAATAAATAAATTTTGTGTCATCCTCGTTCTTGGCTCACAACACTAGTACATAAACGATAAATTCACAGGAAATTGTGAAAATATCTGTTTTTTGTGTGTGTGCATAAACGCCGTCCCCCGGTATCTCACATTGCCCCACAGTTGGTCCGTAAGTGTAACGGACAACCAGCGTGTAAGCAGTCGGCTTGCATGTTACACATTTTATTTCTATTAATGACTGCACCGACCAAGATTGTGGTCGTTTGGCAACTAATCTGCCCCTCTTTTCAGAAACTTGGGTGTCTGCGGTCTTCCATCCATTCTTCTTTTCAGTTGTGTTGGTGTGTTGTATGATGAATAGTTTGCCTGCTCTTTTCGTAGTCCAAGTTTGAATTTTGTTCTTCATTCTTATCCGCTCTAGAATGCACTAAGATGCACACGTATACTGAAACGCTTCTTGTGTCACATTTTGCGTATCTACCTTGTCGGTGTAGATCTTGTCATTCCATTCTCTCCGTTTAGTTTCTGAGAGATAAGTGTTTCCTTTCCATGCTAGCCATTCAATTGGCTAATCACCATTGACCGGCTCGACACAAAGGCCTCACTCACATACCTACTGGTCTTATTCCTTCAGGTTTAAACTGGATACGTGGTGTATGAGTGGAACCACAAGTGGTGCAATGTAAGCCATTTGGGGTGATGGTTTTGTAGCACAGGCGTTCTTTGGCTTCGGTCATTGTGACAGGCTAATCCGTTTCGGATGTCGCCAACCAGGCTGTAGTATATTTTCGCCCATCCACCTTACCATGTGCAGCAGATAGCGTGATCCGGTTTATTCTGCGCGATGGCCGATGCAGTATGATATTTGGTTCATTTTGTATGGTCATGGTTTTTATGGGCTTAGGGTACTGCCAGGACGCCCAAACCTAGACAGGAGAGCGATTAGAGTCCTCAACCAAAGCCTTTGGCTCAGAAGCCTGTACCACAAGGCAGTAGGTGACACACACGCACACACGCATCAGCATCAACCATCTAGAACAGGCTCGACGGTCACAAACACACACACATCCAATTTCCTATCACACGTCGTGGACAATTCCTGCTCAGTTTGTATCTGTGACCGATGCTTTCTGTCGGGTGGGGAGAGGTTAGCCTACCATTCCTCGTCCGTTGGTCCGATCTCGTTTGGCGATGGTTCGTCCGGTAGCCCGCGTTGTTCGCACTCTATCCGCTATAGGCTTTGACCGTATTTCACGACCGTGTTGAGATATACCGCTGAGAGTTGGAATAATCGCGTCTCTGATCTTGTCATCCACCACAGTAGCACGAAGGGTGACTTACAGATTATCCGTATACTGTCGTGTGCAGTCGAACCAACGAGGAAATTATGATGCTGGAACTAACGTTGTGGTTACATGTTGAAACTGTGGATTACCCCAACAACAGTGGACTTCATATTCGAAGTCAGTAAGGTAATGGGGTCAGATCTACCAAACATTCACAGACGTTTTATTTACAGACGAAGCTGGTGTTTGGAAGTGTTCACATACACGACCATTGTTCATATGTCTTAGGAATCCACCAATGAAACCGACAAAATGTGTAAATGGAGCACAGTTGTTTCAACTTAGCTTGATGACAGCACAACTGACCCTACATTGTCCCCACTTTCTCCACTTCATTGGTAACTAGTGCAGGTCACACAACCGTGCACATAAAATAACTAACGTAGAACTCAAACCAGTTAATCCAATTGCAAACAGAAATGTTTTCACCTAAAGGCCAGTTAAGAGGGGTTGATGAAAGAAACAATCCTACGATGCCCGAAGACATGAAAATGGAGATCAAACAAAGATTATATATGGTACTGTAGGAAGTATCCAAAGTGAAAACACGGATGTTTTATCAGCATTTTCCCGTTCGTTCGACCGCGCACAGTCATAATAATAATGACAATTTCCAGCCGCTTGCTACTGGTTGGTAGTGCTTTGATTTCTGTCGCG